CCCGCCGCTCAGCTTGCCCGCAGCGCGCGAGGGAGGCCGGGGGTGTCGCCCGTGGCCTGGCCCCGCGTCCTCTGTGGCAGGTGGGGAGCCTAAGGCGCAGAGGGGTCGCGCCCAGGCCTCCATCGTAACCGGCGAGGCGTGGACGGAGCCCAGGTCCCCCGAACGGGGGAAGTCATGCCGTGCCCGCAGCGCGCGGGTTTGGGGTCCTCGGGGGCGCAGTGGAAACGCGCGCCCTGGTGGCTTGTTTCTCATGCGGGCCCTCCTGACCCCCGGGGAGATCCGCGCGGCTGGGAAGGGGAATCAGGGGTCTGCGGGCCTGACTCCTGAGCGCCCCCGCCTGGCCGGGGCTCCCGCACCAGCCCCGCGCGCGGTTTCGTTTCCTGCGCAGCAGCCCCTGGTGATGCTGAGGCCGGTGCCAGGCCAGCACCCCCCTGCTGACACGTGTCACCACGAACGTCCAAACCTGTAGAGAGTTTTTATAAAAACTAACTTGAGCCAAACAGAGGATACGCCTGGAAGCAGGGTCTTAACAGCCTGAGAGAATGTTTCCAAGAAAATGACAGTCTGCAGCTTCTTTTAAGCGTTTGGAATTCAGGAGGGAACCGAAGAAGAAAACTGGACGGTGGGAGGGAGCTGGGCGGGATCGGGTGACAGGAGGGTGAAGACGGTGACCTCCCTCTAGAAGGGTCTGGTCTGAAAAGGGAGGCCGCTATTAGAAGGAGGGGTCTGAAAAGGGGCATTTCAAAGGTATGTCAATCTAGAATCTCCGAAAGAGGGACAGGGCTTGCCTAAGGCAAAGAAAGTCCTTTTACTAAAGAAGCACTAAAAAAAAGAAGAAGAAGAAGAAGCTCTACGCCCAGTGCATGATTACCCTCCACGACCTGCATAGTTGAGAATTTACGATCAGATCACCCTTGGAGGTTACTTTCCGTAGGATGCTTTTTTGGGGCACAGCTTCCATGCTGAGCCTGGGCTTGGATGGCAATTGGCCCCCTACCTTGGCCTTCCTGCGCGGGGTCCCTGGAACTGATCTGGGGGCCTTTCCGCCCTGTGCTCCAGCGGCAGGAGCTTCCCCCGCGGGCCAAGAGCCTCACCTGGAACTTAGCAGCTCATCCTTCCCATCTCTGCTGAGGTCACCTCCTCCTAGATGATGAGTGGTGTATTTTTACAATAAAGTTTGAGAGGCACTGCTGTAAAGAAGTGTACTAGAGTAAGGTATTTTTACTTCTAAAATCGTTTAAATTTTTACCTACAAAAGTAACATGTTTATGATAACAGCTTTGAATGGAGATAAGCTTTTTAAAAAGTTGCCCACAATCCCCTTGTTCAGAGATAATCATTATTAAACATTATTGTCCCCTTAGGTATTCAGTAATACTTGTTAGTTAATAACAGGATTACTCATAAACTGAGTCATTTGCTTATGAAATTTCTAGAGCAGTGGTTCTCAAAGCAGGTCCTGGAGCCAGCAGCAGCAGTTCCACCCGGAACTGGCCTAGGTCAGTGGTTCCCCAATGCATTGGATTCCCCAGGGACATATTAAAACACTGGTTGCTGGGACCCACCCCAAAGTGTCTGATTCAGCAGCTCTAGGTGGGGCCTAAGAATCTGCATCTCTAACAAGTTTCCAGGTGATGCTGCTGCTGGCTCAGAAGCCACACTTGGGAACCAATCGTCTAGAGTCCCAAGCCCTATGCTTCCTCAGAGCACCGTGGCAGGGACCCACAGGGCACACAGCCAGAGGACATCTATCAGAGTGGAAGCCTGTGGCCCATTTTGCCTGACCCCTGAGTTTTGGGGATGTAGCTGACGAAGCACTGGGAACACAAAGCCATCCCAGGGCCAGCTTCCTGGGCATTCAGTGCTAACAGCTGGGAACCCAGGGCAGGAGCCCCAGACTTCAGCCAGGGCCTCTTACAAATCAGTCTTCCCTTTTCATCCTAGCTGGGCAGCTGCCTAGGTCCATACATTTTGGTCCCCTCCTGCCCCTCGCCCCCATCTTGACTTGCCTGGAGTACGCAGAAGCTATGGACTCTACACCCCACTCCCACTCAGGTTTAGAAGCAGCCACACCACCTCCACCAATAAACCTAACACTCAAAAGCCACATATTTCCTGACCACTCTGGCGCATCCCGTCTTAGTGAGGGGAGGACCTTATGCCTCTACCAAACAGCTTATAAAGATGGCATCCCATGAGACAGCCATCTAAGCAAACCCTTCCTAGGAACTGTGTTGGGTAAAGTGGAATAGAGGGGGAAATGCCGTTAAGAGAGGGTTTTTAGATTATTTTTTTAATATGGGAAAGGTACCCCATGTTTCGATGCTGACGGGATGATCCAGTGAGATGGGGGTTGGGAGGGGTGGGAGAGAGAAGAGAGTTTTTGGAGTGAGGTGCCTGAGTAGCAGACTGGGGCTGGGCACCACTGCAGATTTCATCCATGATAATAGATGGGAAGGATTTGGGCAAGAATGAAGTAGGTAAGTACACAAGTGTTGGATCTTGGAGAGGTAGGCCGCTCTTCAGATTACTCAGGAAATAGGAAGGAGTTAGCTGAGGGTGGAGCCGGGCAAGCTGCTGTTGGGGACCGGCCATCTAGGGAGCGAGAGAGTGAGTGGCCTGGCAAGCATGGTGTGATGGAAGCATGAAGGCTCCCACCCTCCACCCTGAGGTTCTGGGCATGAATTTCAAGGAGGCCAGCCAGCACGGTGGCATGCTTTTCCGTAGCCAAGGTTCAGTTGTGCAGATGTGGGTGTGTGGTGGGTTGAGAGTTGGGTCTAACCAGGGCTGGCTTTGGCCAAGTGCGTGCAATGTAACTGGAGTGAGCAAGGGAGTTGCCATGTCTCCTGCCCAGAACCCCAGATATCATGTGATTCCCTGGCTTATAACCTTCAGGTGTGGTTTCAGTGGTCACTTCCCCAGAAAGTCCCCTCTCTCCATCCCTGTCCCCATCTGACACCTCAGGCCATGGGGCGCTGACCACACTGTTTACTGCTACACCCCAGGAACCCAGAACGGTGCCTGGCTCGTGGCAGGGCCCCTCAGAATGCTTGGTAAGTGAATGAATGAGTCACAGCAGAAAAGGGAGTACAATTATTACCATCTGTAAGTGGAAAGAATTAATTGGACTGAAGGATGACTCAGATTTGGAGAAACAATGAAAGGAGGCTACGTTATTACTCTAACTTTGTAGGTCACTGTAAACCTGTAGAACTTATTCCGTACTTTGTACTAAATATTTGATCTACCTGGTATTTCATCTATGTTGCTAGTCATGTGTGCATGTATATTTGAATGTATAAAGGATATTTGAAGAATATCTGATTGCATGCATACATATGTGCTTTTCATATAGGTGTGTGTAAAGAACTGTTGGCTAAAGGGCATTTGAAAAACCCTAATGCAATAGACTGTAGGCAGTAAATGGTGCTCAGACAGCCTATGAATTACCAGGAGCCCACGAAGCAAAGGGCCCTGTCTTTGGACAGAACCCTGTTTATTTTGCAGTTAGCTGAAAGGACCTCTCTGTCCCTTTTGCTGGCTACAGGGAATGTCCCTGCACACAATGCTGTGTGTGTGTCCCGAAGCTGGCGGGCCAATTCAGGGAGAGCTCTGAAAAGGATCTTTATATTTTAGCTGAGCAAAGGGATGCAGAATTAGGAACCCAGGTTCCTCTGGGCTCTTTCCACCCTACGGATGCCCAGAGCGGCCCAGGAAACCCTGGCCCCTCCGAATCTGCTTCCTGAGCCTTGGGCTGCTCTGCCCCGAGTTCCACTGTGAAACTGCCCTGTGAATGGTGACCAGCAGCTTCGATGAAGAGCCTTTCCTGGGGCTTATAACGAGGCTTTGTGTCCCCATTGTCTGTCCTGGAAAGCTGCCCAGGCCAGACCCAGATAGGACGACCATGACCTTGGGCAGCGTGTGCAGGCTGTGCCAGGCAGCTGGGCTACTTTCCCCCAGTCTCAGTCCCCCACCCCGGCTTTCGCCACCCAGGAAGACCCAGCTGGAGGCATGTGCCCAGCCGCAGGGCCCCACGTGGCTCCCCACACACCCATAGGGGAGGGAGGCTGCCTGCTGGCCCCAGCCCAGGCCCTCCCCGGGCCATCTGCTCGAGAGCAGATGTTTAGCAGGACAGTGAACTGGAGTGCTGGTTTCTGAATCAGCTCAGTCTCTGCTCTCTCTTTTTTTTTAAATAAGCAATTCATATATATGGCTTCAAATCCAAAAGGTGCCAATAGCCCTGGCTGGTTTGGCTCAGTGGTTAGAGTGTTGGCCTACGGATCACAAGGTTTGGTTCTCCGTCAAGGTTATGTGCCTCAGTGGCAGTTCAATC